AAAGTCCTCTCCCGCCAGGATATAAACTGTTACTCCATTGTCTTATCCCTTTGTGCATAAACTGTCTATGACCAGCTGTTAAATATAAACGGCTCAAAAGTAATTACAAATTGCATAGTTTACCATGGGAAAAAAAAGATCAGCTTTCTCTTATTTTGCCTGTGAGTACTGAGCATTCCTGATGACTAAGAAAACACTTTGGAGTGCTCTGTGACCTTATCAAGTAACATATCAAAGAAGGGATTTTTTTTAGTGTCATTTTCACTACGTGTGACACCTCGGTGGCAAAATCGAGGCTGTCAGGCTGTGTGGCTTTTCTGGTTTTCTTTTCTCTTGCTTTGGCCAGTGTGAATTCAGACGTTGTGTATAACCTCTGTGGCTATCTGCCACAGATTTTTGTAATGATCTCTTTACAAGGTTTGTTTTTTTGCTTTAGGTCAGTGATGCACATCTGTTATCTCTCAAAAGAAGTTTGCAGCTCTGCTTTGTACATGGTACGCAGATATTTTCTCTAGTCAGCTATATCTATCCAGTAATAGCTGATTAATTATGGAAGCTGAACAAAGCTTCTGCAGCAGTCTTTGTTAAAGTAGTAGTTATAGAAGAAAGAGGCATTTGTTGTCTTTTTTTTCCTTTCCAAACCAAACCAAAGCTTTCTCCAACTTGTCATTTTCCATATGTGCAAGCTGTTCGGCAGTCTGCAGCCAAGTAATCTGGGCTCCTGCTGCATGGTATCCTTACAGTCAGACTGCTTGGGAGCAGCTCAGACCACAGTTTCTTTGATGGAAACTCTGGGCAGAGTTTTCCAAAAGGCTCTGCAAAGAGTCTGAGGAGTGAACGGGCACCGAGGCATCTCTTCCTTTATCCCCATAGTGGGACCTTACCCAGCTCGCTATGAACTCCCTGGGCAATACTGGGGTAAAGGCAGGGCCCTTGCTGCTTTCCCCTGTAGCTGAAGAGTCTTCAGGCCCCTGCTTTGAGCACCCCTGTGTACTTTGGTTTGCGCTACAAAAATAAATAAATAAACAGTATTAGTAACACAACCTAAGTTGTAGCAAAAAGCCAAGGAATTTTTATATGCACCTTTTATGGGGGATCTAAGCCGTTTAACCTCACGCCATTAATTTTTATAGCTTCCATTGCCTCCGGAATTTGTATGTTGCTAACTCTATCATCGCCTTTGTATGGTGCTTCGTAACTACCAATCCAGACTCTGTGATTCTGGGAACAGCTGCAGAATCAAGCGTTGCTCCAGCCAAGCCTTCTAAAAACAGCGAGTCCCAAGATCTTCATCGTGTTGGCCCTAGCGCTGCAGAGTCAGGGACAGAGAGGGCAGAATTTGTTCAAGTGTTCGTTCCCTTCCCTTCCCTTTCTCACAGTAGCATCGAAAGCAACCCCGTTTGCTTTGGGAAGGTGAGAATACATCAGCCTCGATGTGTGTTTTGCTTTATTCACTAGTGAATAGCTTTTCCTCCCCGGATGTCAGAAAGATGATTTGTGAATCCAGTTATCTCTATCTGTTTGTCTAGTCATGTGAAGGAAATTGCCTTTCATTTTTCTTTTTTTAAGAAAAGGTTCTTAAATTGTGAGAGATCTAATCAATTTCTATATTTTTTGTTGTCTTTTATAATTTTTGTTATAGTCAATGGATATTAAACACACTGCAAAATTATTTTAATAATCTATTTGTAAAATGTGAAAAAGAAGAACTGTTGAAGCAGCAGTGATTTATTTCAGTATATCCAAAAAGTATGTAATTCCTTCCTTCTCTTCCCCATCTAAAAATAGATTCTATTCTTTGTTCTTGTTGCCAGTTCATTGCTTACAAATCCATCTGATGTAGGCAGAAAATGGCTACCTTAAAACAAAGCGAGATGCTGCCACCCATAGGATTGATCCACACTCTGCTTTGCTTTAATCCTAGTTCAGCTGTCCTTTTTCCCAATCCTGTGTAAATTAAACTATCTAAGTCTCAGTCAGGATGGGCTATATGAAAGATGTATAAGAATTTCTAAAATGTAACTACTGTATTCTACGATACCTGTAGCAACACAGAAAATGAATAATGATGAGGTCAGTCATTTTCTAAACCGTTTTAGTTAGATGGGTAGCAAAATTGTTTCTAGGATCCTTGTAGCAAGTAAAGCGAAGACTCGAGTCAGGGGCCCATTTCACGTGCAGGATCCAGGTATGGCAGCTGCTCTGTTTGCTCCATTGCAGTGCCAACCCTTGTATTACAAACCTCCTCTCCTCCCTCTAGAAGCTGTTAAAAAAATGTAGTCAATAAAAATTGGGCGGCCAGTCTGAGGGGGTACTGTCTGGGTTGATACTAACGTATTAAGCTCTGTAGTTCCCGTTGGAGAGGATCAGGGGAAAACAACTTCATTCCTGAAACTGTTGTGGTGTTCTCAACTCAACTTTAAGCCTTGGAATCAGTGAAATTATGTAATAAAGACTTCTTTCCTTCCATCGAGAAATTTAGATGGGAAAGCTTCACTGCGAGGCTACGTTCTGGGATGGGATTCCTGGGGTGAGAGTCCTGGCCTGGCATGTCGGTGGAGCTCCATCGACCTATATTTTGCACAGACTGTAGAGGTTATAGATCCTGCCTGTGTGAAGATGAGAGATTTATTCATCTGATAATCACACTGAATATTCATTACCCTTCACTCTCATGTTCCTGCCAAGAGCCATGTTTTAGAGCTCTGGGTCCTGCTATCTCGCAAGTAAGCCTCTGCAGTGTAAGCACCAATACAGCATTAGGACCAACTCAGCAGCTGCAGTTTCTGGCATCCTGCACTGTGAAGTACGGCATTCACTTGTTCACCCTTGACTGTCTTGATAGCAGACTAGGAATTTGGTAACCAGTGAGATTTTTCTGGGCTCTCTCCCTGGAAAATGCCTTCAGAATGTGTTAATCTAGGAAATAATTACTGCTTTTCTAGCTGTCTTTTAACCAATTATGCCCGCTTAAGACATTGGCTGAAATAAATTAGAAGAGACATAAGACGAAGGTTTTGTGATTTTGAGAAACGTGGCCAGGAATGTGTATCGGATCGCTTGTTCCTTTTGGTTCCGTAATTTGTGCGTTTGGGGATTAAAGCACAGAAGGAATCTGTCCTCTCCTTTCTGGCTCGGAGAGAAGTACTCAGTTTTTTCTTTGGAGGATGCAAAAAGAGTTTTCTTGCTTGTTGGAACTGTTTTACCCACAGCATATGCTCTTTACAAGGCTTCCACTGAAACTTATAGAGAAGGTCCTTGTAGGATATTCTTACCCAACTTCATTTATCGGCTTTGCTTCCATCTCTCTGACAGAGAAGCGGTGGGTCTGTTGATACGATTCAGACTACAGCTCTGCCAAATGCAGTCTTCCCCCACTGCTTCACTAAGCTGTCTGTAACTCTCCTGTAAATTCACAGGCCCCCAGGCTTTTTGTATCTTCACAGGTGCCCTCCGCTTTCCCTCAGTTGCAAATGCGTGCTGTAGGGTTTGCAGAGTGGCTGAGCAGTAGTCCATTAGGCTCAGGTGGAGGAACGGAGATTACCACATCCCGCTGGTCAGTGGTGAGAGTCACCCACACTCTTGCATAGCATTCAACTTCCTGGTATCAGGATCAGCAGAAACAGAGCCCTGTGGAGACTGCAGACTGATGGATTGATTGAATCTATCTTAAGCTTCAGGACTGGCTAGAATAAGGGGCAGAAGCAGGCTATTAGGTTAATTAAGAATACAGCTACGCTGCTTTTGGTCTCAGAGTTCTCATGTGGTTGTGTCTTACCTTGCTGACAGAGCCAAACCTTCAGGTGCCCTTGCTGAGTCCTGGCACTCACTTTAAACTTAAGGCACAGGTTTCAGCTTCCATCCCCTGCCTGGGGGACAGTGGGTTTCTCACATACCACGGCTGTTGGCCCACGCCATACCCACGCTGACAAAGGCACTCGGTACAGAAACACGCATGCACTGTGGCACAACTTAAGGCTGTACAGCTCCTCTCCCACGCTGTCTTGCAACAGTTTCAGTTGTCCTGGATTTGAGGTTGCGTGAATTGTTAGCCCCAACGACCTTGACTCCAAACGAACAGCTCGTATTTTCTGCTGTCAGGTATGAGACTTTGCAGTTCAGGACATCCCTTAATTCCCTTTTCTTTAGCCCCAACACCAAAGTCTCACTAAGGGATCTTCTTTTGTTTTCAGTGTGTTTGTCTAGTCCAGCAGTCATACGGTTTTTCTGTGCCGCTATATGACTGAGCTATTACTTTCTCGATCATATCTGTAGCATGCAGATCCCTTAATGGACCGATGGTCTTAGAGTCCTGAGAGCAAATTCTCGGCTTTTTAGTGAATCAGAAAACGGCTCGGTAGGTGTGTTCAGTAATGGAATGTGTTGAAAGGGACGCAAAAGCTGTGTGCCCAGGACGAAAGTTAGTGGACGTACTGATGAGCAAGTGAAGCCTTGTAGATGGTGTTTCCTTCTTTGTTAGATATTCATATCTCAGACGTTGAAAGAGTTCAGTAGAATGAAGAAAGAGAGATTCCTTTGCTTTTGGACTGCTGCATTTGGCAGCAAACATCAGGAGAGACAGTGAACACACTAAGTTGTTGTCTGCTGAAAGCAGGTGTTGAGGGTCTGAGGAAGCTGTAGTTGCCTGTGTCTCTGTAAATTTCAGGACCTGCAACTTCTGTGACATTGTCAGCAGCTAGAAAATAACAACGTAAAAACTCTTTCTGGCCAAGGTGGAGTTACTTTGGGTCCTGTTTCAACTGCAAGGACCATGCCTGTTGTTTAGAAAAGGAAAAGGGAGAGGTATTGTGATTTCTTTTACAAAAGGAGTTTATCTCCAGAAGTGTTAATTCCTTTAGTATTCATGTGTTTCATGTGATTTTGCATGCACAGGATGGATGAAAAAAGAGAGGAGAATTTATCTTTACTTAAATAAATATTTGTAGTTATTTATTTACATAAAAGATAACCTGCTAGTTAATTTTGTTTCTCTTCTGCAGCCTCCTCCTCAGATATATGATAAACAGCTGGATGAAAGGGAACATACAATCGAAG